GAGTTCTTTTAAGACGTGTTAGCGTGAGATTGTTTGAGTCAGTTCCGAGTGTGCAGATGTCTACATAAAACACATAGTTGAACGTTATTACTACATGGTCGCTGGGACCTAATGGACTTGTAAATGACCGGTATTGACGGAAGTTATGTCGTTTCAATGCTATGATGTTTGAAATATTGCCATAAGGTATATATTCTATCAAAGGATTAACGAACTTTTAGCCGCACAAAGTGGCGCCTTGATCATACTTTTTAGTTGAGAACGTTACTTTGTTGATTGGCGCACGAACAGTTTCGACTCTTCGTAGAAAGTAGAAATCACGATTAAACTTCACACAATAATCTGCCTCGACAGGGAATCGAACCCCGGTCCAACGAATTTCCGGTCCGCTGAGTTACCGAGGGCTGACGACTCTGATGGGCTTCCATAGGAGCTAATGATGACCCTTCTAACAGCACCTTGCTACTAATGCCATTCAGTATCAGAACATTCATTCCAGTGGCCTACGGTGCAATCGTAAGTCCTATTTAAGGGACTTCGTCGCTCCCACTTTAAAATTGGATCATTCAGCCTTCTGTCGAAAAGTGAGTTACACTAACTGTCAAAGGGCTGGTGGTCAGCAGATATGCTGGAGTTTCAGAGTGGCCAGCTGAAATTTACCCATTGATTTTGACTCCGGTATACGGCAGGTTCTCAAACGTCTCGATGTTTTTCATATGTGATTTATGTATGTGCTTTTTCATAATGATTTTGCCTAGCTCACAAAAGGTTCCAATAATTCCCCACGCCATCTTTACTCGGTAGCCATACTGCTACTCTAATCCAAGTAGATGATGCCCTGTAATTCGATTAATATGTTAGCAACTAATGACCAGCAAGGAAGCAGCGCTCGTCGTTGGTCAGCAAGTAATCACCGGGAAGTATTTACAAGTAGACCGGAAAGCTTTTCCAACAAGGTGAATACCCAAAATGGCCAAAAATAAATTTGTCGGGGACATCCTTGCCCGAGTACAAGAGCATGACATTGAATACAACCGGATTATATCACTAACCTACAAGACGTTTACGTAAACAAACGTCGCCCTGTTATAACTTTTGACAACAACCATGAGACTCGGAAACCGAAGCACCGAAATGGCTTTTTTCCAAATCTGGAAACAAGGAGCGAAATCCGGGAAATTGAACTCACTTTGAATGGGAACATAAAACTAGACGTTAATTGTACGTCCAACAATCGTTCAAATTAACCATTGTTCACTTTTATTTTGCTAACTCAGATAAAACAAAAGTGATCTGCAACTGGCATAATACCGGAATAATCAAGGATGATAACTTAAATGTCACAATATGCTAATGACAAAATCGAAGTTTTTTCCTAGACAGAGAGCTAAATTGCATTGGCAACCAAAAGAGCTCACAGTTTACTGAGCAACAACCATTTTCACTCTGGACTTTAGCACGTTTTTTCTCTCTGAGTCAGCACAACTCGTTTTTATGCTATACAAAACGCTGAAACTATATATATATATATATATATATATATATATATATATATATATATATATATATATTGGTTTGGGCATCAGATGAGAGAATGCAGCTTCCCGGAGTGCCTGATTCTGAGCATTACCAAACTACGGAGGTCCTGTGTAAGTTTAATTCATTTATGTTTAAAGCTGTACCTAGTTACCCAACAGTTCAACAGCAGGAAAATACAGGCAATCTTATTGATAACCTCAGTTTTCACGAAACCTTTGCAATAAGTTCATAATAGATAGATGGACGCTTGGCAATGCGCGCTTGATAACCAAAGAAAGAGGATGGCTATATTTTCCCCATCTCAATTAGGCTGGCGCGACTGAATCTAGGATAATGAACTGTCTAAGTATATTATAAGTATGCTTATTGTACTCTCTGTTGTCACTGCTAGAGTTATGTGTACATGAACTAAGCGAAAACTAGCAGTTATCTTGGTGCATACGAACTACTCCGGATACTCATTCAAAAGTTGACAATTAGCATCAGACACTCATGTGTGGAAGATTCCTGTCTGAGGACAAATGTTATTTTTCTTAAATCGTGACGTGGAAGGGAACGATCCATGTTATTGCACGCGCCAGACAGATGTATTAATTTCCGTACATGTGTCCAAATAGATTTCGTTCTCTGATCACTTTAGTAAAAGGGCACAGAGGAAACATATACTGCTGTGCACCCAGCCTACGACGAGATTTACAGCTGTCAACAGCCCGCAAGTAAGTTCACTCTAGACAGCAGTGCTTGGGATGTCTGGTTCCAAATCGAATGTAAATTTCGGCGAACAAAGCAGCTTCTAGCAGCAAGGACTAAGTGTTTTATTGAATGTTACCCAAGTACCGTACATCTTGAAATTACCTATACTGACGCACCAACAGTGTTGCAACCTTATGTTTAGAACCAGTATCACCAGCCAACATTTCAAATTGCATAAGGTTGGATCCAACCATCAAGATACGTTTACACATCGATGAAAAGTACTTTCAGATGCGTACCCTCAGCTATTTACAAAGTGCTTAAAAACGTGTGGCACACTATAAAGCGCTCTCTGGTTTTTATGAATTTGATCCGTCAGTCTGGTTGTTGATCGGTCAGGGTTGAATGGGTCCTGGCCCATACTGCAACCTATCCAGTTTCATATGTATTACTGAAGTAAAATCGTTCACACGCATTCCATAGGTTACTATTTCCCTGCCATATAATTCCGAAACACGCACATATCATTTGGTACCGATTCTCCTTTATTACGCTTTGCTTTCCCCTCTGCTTACTCACTATGCTAGTAGATCAAGTAATAAACAAACAATTTGATTAACTAAGAATTTGTCGCACAGCTTCTAAATCAGATATTGCTGCGCATGCGAACGGGTCCACTCGTTGGGTCCACTATGAACGCTAACCGCATACTCTGCTCACAAGGACTTTCACTAATTCCAAAGCCAACAAGAGCAGTATAGTTGCCAGACGTTTGATTTCCTTATTTGCGTCTGAGTTGCAGTATTGAACAGCAATGGAACAATGGTATAGTATGAGTCAAATATCGGATGCTTGACAAGTCCCCGAATGATGCAACAAAGTGAAAAAAGACAGTGAGAAGATGAAAGCCCTTTTGGTCGACTCCTCACAGTGTTCACATGGATGCATGCAGAAAAGAGCCAAGCTCAATTGTGTAGGTTAGTGCAAGTTGTGCAACTTTCGTCACATTGTATCACCCGTCGCTTTGCACAGGCTTCATCTCATAATGTTGTTGGGTTAGGGTAATATCATGGTGTATCTGTTAACACAGCAAAATCGGGGACGGAAAATAATGCATTTGGGAGGGCTTTCTAGGTCTGGCACGAACGAAGAGAGTTTGGCAGACATTCTAGCTGATTGTATTGCATGGTCAACTTGAGCTGGTGGTTCCTCAAATTCGCTTTGTGCCTAAATTGCATCAGGTGGTGGTAGACGTGTTTTGGGTTCCTCAGAATCCGTTAGGCCATAGTTAGGAAGCCACGTATGCCATTATGCTGCCCGCTGTACAACCTTAGTATCTTCAGTCAAAATTGATATAGAAGGCGAAACAACACTTTGACTTATTTTGTGGCTCTTTGCCATGGAGTGTCGTGTGCCAAGAGACCTTGGTTGGATCAGGTTTGTCAAACCTTTATTGCTTTTCGACATAAGGCCGCACGTATCTGTTAGGCAACTGATAACAGGCATTGGAATCTAGCAGCCTAAGTGCACGCCTCACCATAGCAGATTGTTCGTTTCCAGTCTTTGACGCCTTCTCAGGTTGTTCTGATCAGCCCAAGTCAGCCTGGATAAGTACCGCAAGCTGGCTCTCCAGGATGATTGCTTGTAGGACATGGTCTCCAAGCTTCTATATCACGTTCGGTTGGTGAAGAAAATGGACCATCTTACATTTAGCCGAATTACAGTGGAGCAGATTTTGGAGTGACCATTCGGACGCCCTCTCTAGGTTTTACTGAAGTGCACTGTGATCTACTTGGTCAGCGATCGCCTGCCATATATTAATATCATCAGCGAAAAGCAAGAAATCCGAGGCAGTTAGACGCTTAGGCTTAATAATGAACACACGATAATGAAACGGCGCCAGAACTGATGTTGTGGAACTACACTTTCGGCATGAACCGGATCGGACAGCGCGCTCCAAAATATAGCCTGTAGTTGCCGATACTGTAGCAAATTCCTGATCCACCTAAGGATTGGTTCCAGAGTTCTCGACTTTCGAACCCGTGAAGCGGAATGCTCCATGTGCAGGTTCTCCAGGAACTCGAAGGTATTGGAGCATTTGACGTAAATGACCTTGGCACCCCTACATTTATCGGCTGTTTCGGTCCAGCTACTGTTTACCAAAAGTAATTTGGTTGTACAGGAACGGTATAGGCTAGAACCTTGCTGCTCAGGTACTATGATGTTGTGGTGTTTTAGATGGTCTACTAAAACCTCAACGAGGACTGCCTCCATCACCTTTGAAAGCACAGGGAGGAGGAGAACTGGGCGATAGTTGGCGGGTTCCGAGTGTTGGCCACTTTTAAAAATTGGCGCTAATATACCATGTTTCCCCATAGTAACCACAACTTGTTTATCCAAGCAATTTTGGAAGAAATTCACTAATGACACAGCCAGCGTTGTTGCTGCTACGTTCAGTATCCTCAGTTGAATGTCATGGATTCCGGGAGAAGTGTAGGTGTGTAGTGAGAGCTGACGTATCTTCGTCGACACACGCTAACAAATCGTGTATTTTGTTTATTGTGCTCACAGCTCATTTATGTTCCTTGAGGAGCTTATGATTCACACCCAAAATACTACATGCATCCCGAGTTTATGAGAACATGTGTTGCATCTACTGAGTTGGGCTCTCACGAATTGTTATCTGGCATTATATATTGGCGTTTATAGAGTGGATAATCATGGAGATTTGGGGCACGTTGATAAGAAGACCTAAAAAGTTAATGTCTAATAGCCGGTTCTGAAAAGCACTTATATATTTTCATTATATCATCAGATCGTACAAAATGGTGTTGAGACATGACAGTAGCGATTGTTTGATACGCAGGCTAAAAGGATTAGGTACATGGAATCAGGTTATTGCAAAGGAACGTGATATTTTTGCCAGGTAGCAAAATAATCTGATATAAGTGCAAATCCGAAGGTGTACATTTGCTGAGTAGAGCGGCTTATCCATTATCTCAGTGAAATTTGGCCACAGATTGGCGCAGTTGAACTTCATCCGCGCCACTGAATTGATGCACGATTCGTTTGTTCTTCATAAAGACGAACGTAGGCATGCATTTGATGTTGTATTCCTTGCTTGTTGGCTGTGGTGAATTAAAAGGCATTTATTAACGAAACAAACAAATGTATTTGCTAGTAGTCGCACATAAGTGACCACGTTGCTGATTATTACAAGGAAACTGGGTAGAGCAGATCGTTACTTCGGAATGTTGGCACCCTATCTTCTATACGTTCTATATGAGTGGGCAATTTATGAAACCGACCGTTCTTAGCAACATGATCTAAATACTTAGTTGATGCAACCTCTGAAATCATGTTGTCCTATCGCTGAATGAAACTAGAGAACGTTTCATGATGGATTTGACCAAAACTAACTAATAAGCCACGTCGTCATACTAAGGTCCCTCACTCTTTAACTATATTGGTGATGCGGGAGTTTGTGTTGTAAATTGACGAACTTATACACATCAGTCTTCAAGGCTGGCGGATTATCTTGGTCTACTATTTTGATTCCTGTGTTAGACATTTAGGAACAGCACTGAATAATTAGAACTAGCCAGTTAAGTCAGTAGAGAAAAAATTGCATTATGGATCAAATTCGTTAATTATTCACACCAAGCCAAGTTAGTGTTGTAGTTTGACAGAGAATCAGTTGCGGACGTTTAGTTTGGCTTGAATGTACTTTACACTTGTCAGTCCTGGTCTCTCTACTGCGTTTATTTTTGGTCCCAGATAATGAAATTGAGTCTGCCGCCAGTGTTGGTAATGTGACTCGTACCAAGTTAGCATTCGAAGACTAGCTTATAACTTCAGGTGGCTAGTTTGTGCATGCTGACAATCAATTAGATAAGTATGCTTGGGGCGTCATTTTATTATTAATGCATGAAGGATAATTGTGAGACAAGTATCCCTCTTGTCTGGAGACACATGGACATTTAGATAGACCATGATGTCAATCACCATGCACCACCAGGTCAATCGATTAATCAGTTAAACTTTGTATGCGGTACAGAACATTGTAACGAAAGAACTGTAATCTCAAAATTCATGCCGCACCGTTGCAGACTTCAACAGCTGAGTTATTTTGAGCCGAATTCCAAAACCTTTATTAATGTGTTTGTGGGGGCATCTTCGTATTTTTAGTATGTTATGCTATTGGGAACCATGTAATATTGTTTAAAACCACTTGAGGCTTAGTTGTAACAACGGTTTTCCTTACCCTGTTCGCATCAACATCCACCTTGACGAAGCATACGTCCTGGAATTGGTTGGCCAATTCTTCGAATATTGGGGAGATTTTCTGGCACGGTGGACACCATTCCGCATAAAAGTCTACTACGATCAGTTTCTCCTGATTTTCTTCGAAGAAGGCATCAGCCTCAGCCTGTAGGGCGATATAAACAATTGCACAACTTATTGGATGTTAGTGGTTACTCAACATTGTTTCTGTTCATTCAAGCATTTGGTAGGCCTCTACTGTCATTCTCTACGTCATTATCTGATTTGTAAGCCTCCTGATCCACCTGTGATCAACATTCTATATAAGTATGCACTTACCCGATCACGTCGGTAAAGGTGTGTCTCGCGTCATCAAGAATTGAAATTTATTTATTTATTTATTGTTCTGTGTGTACATTAAAGAGCAAAGAAAACAGTTCTAACTGTCTTTGAGTTGGTTCATTTCTTTTTGCCTTATCAATTACTGCGAAATGTTTGCACACATCAATAAGTAGGTTGATATCTTCACCTGCGTTAATCAACGCAAGAAGTATTACAAGCTAATTCTATGAAGAGGACGTTGAAATTGGTTTACACATGTTCTTGCAACCTTTACAAATATTAGTTAACCTTTTACGCCCTCATGGTCAAAATAATTTTCGTTCCATGTATTACCTCTTCGCTAGTTATACTGTTCCCGCGAGTGCTTCAAAAAGATAAAATCATTCTTATCCGTGAGCTGAAATTGGTTTCTCGCTGCTCTGATTCTGGAAACAAACCGCCCAACGATTTCCTTGTTAACAATCATCGTGATTTCGCCGCAAGCAGCCGATAATTCAGATAACTCAACTACCAATCCGGAAAAGCATCAAGCGGCCATTTCGTCCTATTGGGGCTTGTTAGTGGTGCGCATCCTTCGTTAATCTTTCGAGCATCGAACCTAGAACTGCTAGTAGCTTGCGCTAACTGGTCCGCAGCTTATGCTACTGAGCCATGGTAGCTAACTGCCATATAGACTAATCCATCCTCCACTGCAATGCAGGCAACCACTAAAGCCTATCTACTCATAAGTAATAATCATTTGCTCATCTGAAATTAATAACTGTTATGTTGACTCATAGCTACCTTACCCGGGAAGTCCTGACACCGGAAGGCCGACAGCTGTCATTTGCATGGCATATGGCTGCATGGCAGTAGATGACGGGTCGGGCTATATTGCAGTTAGCTAACAATTCATAACGGCGGACTATCGTTCTTCTTTTCTCAGTGGTATAAGATGCAGGCTAGTTGGCGAAAGCCACTAGCAGTCATAGGTTTCAGTCTCTGAAGCGGATCAAAGGATATGCACCACTGACGAGCCCCAATGGAGTGAAACGGCAGTCTGGTGCTTTCCGGATTGGTATTTGAGTTATCCGAATGGTCGGCTATTTGGGACGAAGGCAGCAACCTCACCAAATCCTCCTACGCAGAGGTAACCATTTTGATACATTCGCCAACCATCTGTCCAAAAATTTGCACGACCCTTTAAACCTGTAGACTCTATCCTAGCCAATACTGCAAGGTGTTTTATTAATCTGATCCGGAGCTAGCAGCGACTGCACTCAGGTGCTGACGTACACTGGTACGCTGAATTGCTAACTGTCCAGTGGCGCAAATTGTTTTGCCAACAGGGAAGCGATGGGACACAGAGACGCCATATGAACAATGAACAATGAACAATGAACAATGATTTATCACGAGATAAAAGCAAGTGCTTGACATGTCCCGTAGGATGGTAGCGGTGAATATGATGCAATTAAAATATGTGTGGGTCATCTATCGAACGTCTGCCGAGATGAATACTTTGATAATTAACATCAGTTTAAAAGGAAAAAGAAATATCGCGCGTAAACATTCAGAAAGACAGTGGGGCGCTGTGATAGTTGAGGTAAGGAGTGAGAAAATAAAATATGGTCGCTCACTTAGGTCCATTTGATACATTAGTCCTGTTGAAAACATGCTTGGCGTAATCCACAACAGAGGAGCTTAGGTAACAAAATGTTGGGAGCTGAGGGCAACATCTAATCGTTTTTTGAAAACATCCAGGGTAGGAGAGGATACTACTGAGTCTGAGAGTGCGTTCCATGGTTTGCAAACTCGAAGGGAAAAGTAATTCCGTCGACACTCTAGACGGCTATATTGTTCCTTCAACTTTAAGCAGTTACCCCTGAGCTGCGTGTTGTGGCTAAGTTTCAGCAAATGGCGGCATACGTGGTTGGGGTCACTCAATATTTGATACGCTAATATGAGATCGCCGCGCAGCCTTCGATAGCGTCCGCTGAAAATTCCCAACAACTTCAGCCTTCGGTGGTAAGAGTGATACCGCAGGCCCATCACGTTCTTGGTTGCTCTCCGTTGTGGTGCCTCTATCGCTTCTAGGTCGCGTTTCAACCAAGGTTGCCAAGCTTGGATTGCGTACTCAACTTGCGGGCGCACGTAGGAATTGAGCATCATTGGGAAGATTGATGGGTCAAATCTCCCGAATGCCCTTCGCAGCATGCCGACGTGCTGGTTGCCTCTTTTCGCAGCTACCTCAGCCTGTTTTGAACAGTTGAGGTCGCTCTGTACGATCACACCAAGATCACGTTCTTGGGAGCTATTCTGCAATTCCTTTGTCCCAAGTATGTAGGTGTAGTTATGTCTATGGCGTAATTGTACTACGCGACATTTGTCTACGTTGAACGGTAGAGCGTTTTGAACTGACCAGTTCGACACTGTGTTAAGATCGTGCTGGAGCCGTTCATGGTCATCCGGTCCTCTGATCCTTCGCCATATCTTGATATCATCAGCGAAAAATAAGAAATCGGAAGTAATTGATCTCGCCAAATCGTTAATGAACACCAAGAATAGACGAGGTCCAAGAACCGAGCCTTGTGGTACTCCACACGTCACGTCGATTGCATGAGAAAATGATTCTCGGACTCTCACCACTAGCCGTCGTTCTTGTAGAAAATTGCTAATCCAACTCAGGATTGGATCGCCAATGCCGTAGTTCCGAAGCTTCTGAAGGAGAACTCGATGGTCTAAACGATCAAACGCTTTTGAAAAGTCCAGGTAGATGACATCGACTCCAACTCCATCATCAACAGCTTCAGTCCAGCTATTTCGTGCAATTAATAGGTTAGTGTTACACGAATGCTTTTGACGAAAGCCATGTTGCTCTGGGGCTATTAAATTGTGGCTTTCCAGGTATTGCATCAGCGCGTCTGCGACGATTGATTCCATCACTTTGGATAGTACGGGAAGTAATGTTATTGGACGGTAGTTCGCAGGATCAGTGCGGCTGCCTCCTTTATGGATGGGAGTGATGACCCCTTGCTTCCATACTGGTGGAATAAGGTTTTCCTCTAGACATCGCTGATAGAAAACAGCCAGTGGTTCTGCTAGATCACTAGCTACTGCCTGTAGAGCCTTTGGACGGATGTTATCAGCTCCGGGAGAACTGTGGATACGCAAGGATAACAATTTCTTCAACACAGCCTCCGTAGTGAAGGTGATGTTTTCTAAACCAAACGGCGGAGTATTAGAAATGAGGTGAATGTTTGGGCTCGACACTTGTTGGAACGTTTGAGAGTAATGAAGCCGTAGGAGATCAGCTGCTTCCATTGCTGACCGCGTGTATCCATCAGCTGTGACTAGCGCCGGAACCCCTCGCTTTACCTTTCGAAGGCCGTTAATGTGCCTATACAGGAGTTTGTGGTTAGTGCAGAATCGCTTCATTAACTTCTGCTGATGCGTGACCTTGTCCTCGCGGATCAGTTTCACACAGAAGTTACGATGTGTCACGTATGCAGTCCAGGTTTCGGCATTCGGGCAACCCTGGTGATTTCGCCATGCCAAATCCCTCCGGGACATACATTTACGTGTTCTGCTCCTCAGAATTGACTTACTCTGGTTTTGGGTTGGAAGGACTTCTGTTCCGATGCTTGCGCTACCAGTGTGCTCAAAGTCCTTGTAAACATATCCCAGGCCAAATCTGGGGGGCATTCGAATAAGAAAGTCCAAGATGTATCCTTAACAAGCTTGGACAACACATTGTAGTGCGTGACAGTGTGCACTTTATCCTCCTCCTTTTCCGGGTACTCTGCATAGCATATATAATCAAAGAGTAGAGTGACATGATCACTACGACCCAGTGGTGTGCTTGTAACTATCCCGCCAACCATGAGTTCTTCGTTAGTTAGCACAAGATCTAGTATCGACGGCTTGTTAGAAGTTCGAAATCTGGTGGGAGAGGTTACGTGGTTGTAAAGAGGGTGGATAGCAATAAGTTCTTGCAAACAGGCTTTAAACTGCGTACCGTCAGTTGCCGGCGTTTCTATGTCGTGCACGTTAAAGTCTCCCGCGATAAGAATGTGGGTGTAGGACTTGTTCAAAGCAAACTGAAAAACGTGGTACAGTTTGGAGTCCAATTCCAACGTTGAGTTTGGCGGGCGATAAACCACGGCTAGTAGACATGTGTCCTTGTTTCGCAACCAAAGGCGGCACCAAAGCGAATCGGGAGCTCGGATTTCTGGGTGATCGATAACTTCACATCGGAGGCTTGTATTATAGTAAAGAATCACACCGCCACCCATTCCGGTTCTATCGGTCCGAAGCAGCGACATACCGGGTAACTTGATCTCACAGTCGGTTATCTCAGGGTTTAACCATGTCTCTGTAATCATGACGAGGTCTCGTGGTTGTGAGGCATGGAGTTCTCTAAGTTCGGCCAACTTGCTTCGAAGGCCTTGAGCGTTTGTGTACATGCAAGATAGGGCTTTTGTGGTTAGGAGTTCATTGGTGGATGTCAAGTTTGTGTTCGCTTTTAAGCCGGCCGTTAGGTGGCCGGCAATTAATCGTTTTTTGGTTTGTGTATTTCAGTCGTGTTACATGACATTATTGAGCGTTCCTGAACTGATGGTTCACTCGTGCTTTGCTCGGTCCTCCTGTGTGACGTGGACGCTGTTGTGTCGGTCTCTCCGAAGGACTGTGCAAATAAAGAATTTGCAGGATTTGCATGTTCCATCGAATTTCTTCCGACATTTGGTCGTTCGCCTGCTGCCTTTAGCCGTATTTCTGTTGACAACCTAGCTCGAAACTTTAACCAGCTATCCAACAGAACTTGCGTCATTCCCTCAGAGTGTA